TAGTCCTAAACTAAATTCACCTTAGGTAGGGGAAATATTTGACAACATGTAGATAATGACATAGTGGATAAAAACAGTTTGACATTTGTCGATCAGACACAAAAACATTCCATGATGCTGTAAGAGGATGCAAGTCTCTAGTATATACAGTATATTACTCACAAAATTGGCTTCTTTACTTCTCTCTTTGCATGCTCTGAAGATCTTCATCCCTTTTGCTTTTGAAGATTATTTTACTCAGATTTTCGTCTATTCTCTTAGAATTTTAGCAGAACATATTCAGTTTGGATATTGTATCCATTTTTAATCTTTTCTTTTAATTTTCCTATTTTACATTTGAATCATCTGTAATCAGTATCACTTATACTTATGATAATTGATTTTAATTTAAAAAAAATCGGAAAGACTTTGTCTGCCTGGATCTCTTCTCAGTGCATCTCAAATTAAAAAAGGAGAGGTCATAATCGTTTGTTAATGTAAAAACATCTGGACTGAATTTGTGCCAGAGTGTGTACCACTAGATGGCGTTATCTCCATTGGTCTTTTGTTGCTTTTACCACAGACACATCAAGATACAATGGAGTTATCTGAGAAAAGATGAATATACTCCTACAAATGTGAATCAATTGCAAGCATCCAGATGGAGTCTCTCTACCTTATATTTTATATTAACATTCATTCAAAACTTTAGAAATAAATGTACAACATGCACAAACAATGTCTTTGCCTTTTGCTTAATTCAACATTTGATGCATGCTTGAATGACACAACAGTCATGTTTAGAAAGCAAAATGTTTGGTTTGGGGCTACGAGTCAGGAAACTAATGCTAACAGACATTTTAAGAAGGCTCGGGATCCCCTTTAGAGATGAAACTTTGCAAAAGCCAGCCTGCATGCATTTCAGAAGGCCTTTTTAATAAGTCTTGATAAGTTTTACAAGGCCTGTCGTGGAAACTTCATATAATTCAATTCATCATATAATTCATGAGACCTGTTTGATGTAAAAGGGTTCCTTTTTACGTTAAGGAATCAACTTTTAAAGAAAATAATATATTTTCAAAGCTGCACTTCCATCTGTCTACTCAGCATAGCCTCCAACCAAATGTCTTATTCAACGTCATTTAGTAGTACGCAATGTACTTCTTAAAAAACATATAAAATCATTTGCCTATACAATATGTAGCCTATTTTGTAAGTGAAAAAATAATAGTTTGATTTAGCTCTCTTTTATTTTTTTATTCCTTTACTTTCTATACAATGTCTTTTGAGCGTTATCTATTCAGTGAGAGTTTAATCTAATTGGCAAGAGGTTAAAAATGATAAGATACATTAAATGCCTATTGTTTGTAAGCCATGAGGTATAGATGATTTGGAATTATTTTGAAAGTGTAGTGTCTGATTCATCTTTAATTATTTGCAAATAGGCTATTTTTCCATCTATTTATTCATTTTAGTAATTTTATACATGTGTAAATATTTAGTAATCCAGCACAATCCAACACACAAACCTTCTCCACTTCTCCACTTGGTGTCGTTGTATTGTGTTAATCGTTTGGCAAAATACATTTTGTACAAATACACAAAAATCTTAAACGGATGGGTTTTATAGTGGTTGGAAACCAGCTGAACTATAAACCACCTGAGGTCAGCATGGCTTAGTTGAGATACCATCTTGAACCAGCTAAGACCAACAAGCTAGCTTAGGTTGGTTTAAAGGGGTCATATGATTTCGATTTCAAGTTTTCCTTTCTTTTTGGAGTGTTACAAGCTGATTG